CGGGGTGGTCAAGCAGTGGGTGAAGCTGTGTTTAAGAATATTCCTGCCACCCTCCCAGCCCCGCAAGGTCCCGGTGCTGGAGGTCGGGGGTCAGGCGGGCCCCGATGGCGCAGACGGGTCCTTGGGGTGACAGAGCCTGGGCCTCCCTCTCTGGGCGCCTTGGCCAGCCCCGGCGGTTCCCTCTCCTTCCCCGAGGCTTGGCTTGGGCAAGTGTAGGGAAGGCTGGTTTTGGAGGCTCTTCCCAAGGAAGAGCGGAGTCCAGGTAGGGCCGTGCTTTTTTTTCCTGCCGGCCATGCGGTGCAGGGGACGCGTCGTTGTGGCCCCGTGCTCCCCTCTGGCGAGGGGGTGGGTGGCGGGGCTGTTCAGGCGCCCGCTGGGCGACACGCTTGAAATGAGGGGTCGTCCCCGTCCATCTGCTGGAGAAGCCAGTCGGGCAGCTGAGCCCCGCGCTGCTTCTGTGACGTTTTTTTCCTCTTCCGTTTGCGGGTGGGAGTGGAACAGGTTAGATCCCTGGGGAATTCTGTCCCCTGGGCGCAGGAGAGGGCAGAGCGCAGCCCCGCGCCGGCTGTTTCTCTTGCCGTCTTTTTTTGGCACTCCACCGCCGAGGAGTCGGAGGATGAGCCGCCATCCAGAGAGGAAGGAACGGATGCCCGGCTCAGCGAGCGGGATGCAGCAGGGGGGAACAACGAAGGGGCTGTAACCGAAGAGGCTGAAGGCGATGGGCAGAGAGAAGGGGAGGAGGCAGAGCAGCCGGACCAAACGGTAACTGAGCCGCAGGTATCTGGTGATGATGGCGGTCGCCACGTGGGGTGCAGAGGGAAGGTTTCTTGTCTCCCTGTCTCTGCGTGCGCTGAGGAGCTTTGTGGTGCCAGGCAAGTGTGTTTCTTTTCTCTCTCGCCCCTGGGTTTTGTCAGAGGCTGAGGACGTGAGCCTCGGGGGAGGGAGCTTAAACCCAGGTACTCAGGGCTCCAGATCTGGAGGAGAATGAGCCGTTTGATGCTGAGCGTTGGGTTTGTGCCTGGGATTCAGGGAGATCTTACAGGCGCAGAGGGGAGGTTCCTGAGGAGGACCTTGTGCTGTGTCCTCGCGAGCGCTGCGGTCAGGCACAGCGCGCGGGAAGGAGAGCGCCCTGGGATTCTGAAAGGGAGATTGCTTCTCTGCTCCCTTCGCTGCACAGTTAATTGAGCTCTGCACTGTACGTGGGGCTGGGCTGGTGGGTAAATGCTCAGTGAAGCGTTTGTTTTGGAGCGGATGAGGTGAAGACTCCAAGCAATGTAAACAAAATGCTGAACGTGTTCTTTTCTGGAGTGTTTTGTTGTTGTTATGTGTTAAGATTCCCTCCTGTGGTCTGTGTCAGCTGGGTGAAGACTCCAAGCAATGTAAACGAAACGCTGAACGTGTTCTTTTCTGGAGCGTTTTGTTGTTGTTTTGTGATAAGATTCCCTCCTGTGGTCTGTGTCAGCTCAGACGTGTCTCCTTGCAGAAGCACATAAGGAAAGGGGCACTTTAATTAACGATTTGACACTGCAAGCCTAGCCCATGTCTTACTGGAGATGAGGATGGCGGGGAGTGAAGGGGGATCGGCCCCCTGGCCTCACCCGTTAGGGCTCAGCCTGTGGGGTGCGTGCCCGTGGGTTTTGGGTGCCAGGCAGTGCAGCCAGAGGAGCAAAGACCACCGTCTGCGCGCGGTGCAGCTGTGCTGGTGGCCTCAGCCAGCCCAGGGGCTTGGGAATGCTCTGGATGTGCGGTGTGGGCTCTGCTCGGTCGGTCCCCGCATGAGCAGTGGCTCCAGCGGGCCCTGACCCAGTGAATTTGCTGCGTAAGCACTGCAGGGTGCACCTGCTGCTTCTCTCAGACCTTCCCGGGTAGAATCGTGGGAGCCCTCGGCAGGTGTCTCCCCGCCGTTTGATAGAGCCAAATCGGGGCTGCACGTTCCCCCAGTTCTGAAATCGGCTCGGGAGCCGTGGGGTTGTTCTGGTAACGCTGTCGCTCGCTGTTTTACCTGCGTAGATCCTGGGAATGTGCTTTTTAGCTCCGTTACGCCCTGGGGAAGAGCCGGCGTGGACAGCAGCGTGCCTGTCGCGTTAGGGAACGCCACGCGGCGTCGTGAGCTGAAGTAGCTGCGTCGGCAGCGAGAGGAGCCTGTGTTGTGTGGTGCTTTCAGGCAGCTGTTGGTTTCTGTGGAAATCGGAGTGACCGATGGCAGTGTCACGCTCGCTAGACAGACAGAAGTAAAGTTTATTCTAGGGGGCGAAGGAGGGCTGAAACGTTTCTTCCACCCCTGGCAGACCTAAAGAGTTTCTTGCCCGATTTTGTGGTCTCAGACATTGATATGAAAGTCAGCTGAGACTTAACCCTTGCGTTTGTAAACCTTTGGTGCTTTCCTCCATTTGTCTCCCTGTGTCTTAATTTCCACTCGCTGACAAACTTGAAAGGGTGAACACTGGTTTTCATTTCAGG